ATTTTAACAACTATAATATGTGTTTGGCTTTTCAGTTTTAACTTGTCCTTTTCCGATAAGCTTGTCAAATTCTGATAATCTTCTTCAGAAATAGGATTTCAAGAAATGTGTTTTTGTTTGCAGATACTTTTCCGTCTTAATTTTCTTGGAAGCAATTGACATAGACTCTCTGCAGGATTGTGCTTTTAGAGACCAGACCAAAAAGCATCCATTTGCATCGGAAAAACAGGTCTGCAAGGTAAGATGCCTGTGTGACCTCCCTACCAAATGATGCTTAATACATTTATACATCTGTTGCATTGCCTCAAATAAACAAATTGTGTATTTACAGGACATAGATAATGTTTTGCTTACCTTTGGTGACCTCCCACACCATGCCCCAGTCCTTCTGGCCTGGGCTCTACTTCGGCACACGCTGAGCTCTGATGAGGCCGAAACATCCATTCGTAAAATGGGCAACACTGCCATCCAGCTTCATGTCTTCCAGTATCTGACAAGCATGCTGAAGTCACTTGGTAGTAGTGAACATAATGTGAGTATAACATGAACTATATATATGAAATATAAAAGTTATAAATATATAAAGTTAAATATAACTGTGATAGCTATTCATTTTTGTTTCTTAAATCTGGAGTGTTATATGTAATATGGATGGGGTTTCTAGATTCAAACGTTTTCATTAATTCACAGAATTTATTCATGATTATAAGCAGTATGTGAAAGCAATTATTACATTGGAGGGAAATCAATTTATCAAGACATATGTTTTGTTTAATACCTCCTTGATTTATTGATTGATTGAGTGAGGATATTTATTAATTATGCAAAAATAAACTCGTACAGGCCTTTTAATTCACACCATGGTCTTAAATTGGTGGTCCCGATCACTGCATATAGAAACTCTGTCATAGTTTTTGGAGGACTGTTATAAACTGCAACATAAGTGCATGTTTCAAGAACTTACTGTGAACAGCCAAAGGAGGTCCTGGGTGGCTTCCAATTCACAAAACTGTGAGAAAGTTATGTACCTATTTACATAGTTTGTGAATGGGTAACTAGTCATAGGGTCTTTCTCATTGAAGCCTTGGACTTTGCTGGAAACCAGGGGCAGAGAGGGCGGGCGCAGTCTTCACAACTTTATGATTAAACCATTCATGACAGGGAATACCGCATTCTTAATGAGATCCTGGTGCTACCAGATCTGAGGCTGGCTACCCCTACCATAATAGTTGCACAAAGTTGTGGTCCAGGCACTCAAGGGATAATTATGCAGCAGATTTATTTGGAAAAAGTGCACCGTTTTGATCTCAGACATCTTTCTCAAGCTTGAAATGTTATGGTTCATCTCAATGAACCTTAAAGGACAACTATAGGCACCCAGACCACTTCAGCTTAATGAAGTGGTCTGGGTGCCGGGTCCATCTAGGATTAACCCTTTCTGCTGTAAACCTAGCAGTTTCAGAGAAACTGCTATGTTTACCTATGGGTTAATCCAGGCTCTAGTGGCTGTCTCATTGACAGCCGTTTGAGGCGCTTCCGCGCTTCTCCCTGTGATTTTCACAGTGAGAAGACGCCAGCGTCCATAGGAAAGCATTGAGAATGCTTTCCTGTGGACTGACTGCGGGCCGCGCATGCGCATTCAGCCGATGACGGGGAAAGGAGGCGGAAAGTCCCCACCGCCGAGGGAGCCCGGCGGTGGGAAAAAGGTATGTGTTTAACCCCTTCCTCACCCTAGAGCCCGGCAAGAGTGGGACCCTAAGGGTGGGGGGGACCTAGAGACTCTATAGTGCCAGGAAATGAGTTTGTTTTCCTGGCATTATAGTGGTCCTCTAACCGCTTGATTGAGGTGACGTTGTTATGGTGCCTGGAGTGTTTCTTTTAAGGGCATTTAAACTTATTAACCAGTGCTTCAGCAGTGCCCAGCATATAAGAAGCTCCGATTGGCTGGACAGCCATGCTACCAGTCATCTTGGTTCATGTGCTCTAACATAGTCTGTCACGTGTGGGTGGGCTAGTGCATTACGGAAACCTCCACCTGCAAGCATTGACCCTTCCACTCCATCTCCAGATTTCGGAAGGCCTGATATTTGTATGTCAACAATATACTAAACTGCCTCTTCTACTTTTCTTCATTTCTTGGCCTATTTTATATAACAGGGCTCAGAATTTCCTCTAGTCACAGGAGAGTAAGTGATCCGTGGTGACTGTGCCATGAACTCACCAGGCTTGTAGTGGCAAGTGATTTCTAGGCACATTTTATAGAGTTGGACTTTTTATTTTGAGCCCTGTATGTATCACAATTTATCGATCACATTTAGATTTTAGATTTTATTACAAAATGTGAGGTGAGAGATGCAAATATAAACTAGAGTTGCCATTAAAATTTTAATTCCCGTGTGACAATTACAATTAATAAGTTAATCGAGGTGGATGTATGCTTATCACACTAGTACGGCTTCACCTGTATGTCAATTTTATTTATTTTGTCTTTTTGCAGTGTACCAGCAGCACAGCGTGTGTCTGTATCTACAGTCTGCTATGCTTTGTGTTGACTACGCTGGAGGAACACACACTGGGAAAACAACAGGTGAGCCTTGAGATGGATATGATCTCTCTTTCCCAGTTATATTCCGTAGTTGAGTTTGTGTTTGTATATATGAAAGCTGCATTATCTGTCTGTGGGGGATTGCCACCTTAAAGGGACGTTCTACACTATATAACCACTACATGCTTAGTAGTTATGTTGCCTATGTTCTTTGGGCACCATCCACAGGGTTTTATTTTAGATCTTTTAGAAGCAAATAGATGTAACGAGAGTGCCAATATGCCCACTGCATTCTCAAATAGATATTTCTATATCGTGTTTGTCGTGACAATGTCTCTTTAACTTACTGTCTGCCGTAGCACTCTCGATGGTCCCGGTATCAGGTGTTTTGATTCTTGCCTTCATAACTTCTTTAATTTATTTGCTTTGGTTACTTCAGTCTAGGGGGACTTTGGTTGGCTGACAAATATGCAGTTATTAGTGTTTATGCTATGATCACTAGTTAGATCAGGGAGCAGCCTGACCTTAGTAACCCAGGTTTAGGGAATGTTTATTATGATGGGAATTATTATTTCATCTACCTTTTTTTTCTGTTTCTACATTTTCTTTTTTCATTCACTGTTCTTAGTAATAGTTTTAGTCTCACTCAACAAATTCTCGTCCTCTAGGTTAACAACGACATTTGGTGGATGTTTATATGCAGTAGCAAATATCTATTCCAGTATTGTAAATATTGATACTTGTAATTTGTGAAGAAATTATATACTTGGTATTTAATTGCTATTAAATGCTTGTACATCTGTTAATATTGTTTTTTCGCTATTGTAATAACTAGAGAGGTTATTATTCACTATTCGATCTTTTTTTTTTTGTGATATACATTTCCTGTTTTACTCAAATTATAGTAATCCTATTTAATTATCTGCAAGTATTCCAATAGGTTTTGATCCTATCCTTTTTTGGTCATTTATTCATCAACTAGAATTACTTTAGCTCATTCGGTGACTTATTGTAGACCAATAATAATCTCTTTGATTAACTTAATATATTAACTTCCTACCAGAGATCAGTCGGTGATTGGAAATTCTCTAACGATTAGTTAAATGATGTATAAAAATCTTCAAATGGTGTTTTTCACTTTGGGCTGATATTCCCTTTTTTTTTTTTTTTATTAAAAGTTACATAAAGGTCACGTTTTAACTTTCACCGCTTTTCTGTTGTTCCGAATAAAGGACTTCAACCCCTCGATTCTGTGTTGAACTATGTATTAACTGTCACTTTAAATCAAGTGTCTTTTTTTTTCTTTACATACTGTCTGTTTTAGCAGTAGTTGTAGTATGCTGGGATAAAATAGAACATGTTTGAACAATTGATATAGTAATGTGTTTTGTAAATGTTTCTTCCTAACTGTATATAGCTGTGGAATTATAGTGTGACCTTTTCTTTTTAGGATGTTATTGACACAGCTTGTCAAGTCTTCTCTGCTCCAAACCTGTCAGATCTTTTTTGGAACACTGTGAGTATTTAAGTTGAAAGTTTGGATTGTCTGTATACAGAACCAGTGCATTTCTAATATAAAGTGTAATGACTCTAGATTAAACTTTCGACTTTGCAAAAATCAAAAAAATTTAAACTTGGACCTAGGTTCATTATATCCATGTCATGGAAAGTAACATGTTAAAAAAACACTATAGTGTTAGGAATACAGATACCCCTTATCCAGTGAGGATTTAAAAGGTAGATTGATTATTTCAGCCAATCCAATATGGAGTATTTGATTTAAAAAGTAATAGTCTGACTTTGTTATTCAGTGGAAGTGCCTCTACCGACCGTCAGGAAGACCGCCGATAGAGGTGTTTTTAACCCTTCAATCCTAGCATTGCTGTATCTACTAAGCAGCATTTCTTTTACCTTGCAGGGTTAAAACTAAAGGGAATGAAATGGTCTGGGTGCTTTTTAGTGGTCCTTTAAAAAGGTGCTGTAGCTTGCATATCGGGAGAAAAAACACTTACATGCTTACGTGTAGTGATCAGAGATTTTAGAAAAAAAACAAAACAATTTCCATCTGTTTGTTGACTCTGCAGAAATACTGAGGGGATAATGAGTTTTGTAGATTATACAGAAGCTAGTATTTTGCTTCTGGTTAACATTAAAGAACACCTATTGGACTTGTAGACATTTGTTATATTGTTTGAAGATGAATCAAATGGTTTGCATTTGACCATATTGTCATATTTGTCATTTATTGTCATCTGAATGTATGTAAAAATTAGACCTATAGTCTGTAATCTATTAGTAAAGCTTGGGCTGTCATGGCCAGGTATTCTCAGTTCTTCAACATGCCTGGATGAGTAAACATCGATTCAGCCACATCCTGGTTTATGTGGGCAAGGCCGGTCTGTCCAGTGGGGCCATGGCTTCAGGTGGGATTTTGCCTGGGCCGTGAGTGTGTATATATGTGTGTGTGTGTGTGTGTGTGTGTATATATATATATATATATATACATACATACACACACACACACACACACACTTTGAAAGAAGTTTTGCACTCCAGCTTTCCTTCATATATTGGCCCGGTGCTCAGCTGCACGAATTTACACTCTCCAAAAGAAAGCCAGCACTCAATGACTTCAACATAAAATACGTAGGCTTTAATCCAAACAGTGCGCCAACATTTCAGTTCACTACAGTGAACTTTCCTCAGGACATAAACATATATATATATATATATATATATATATATTCATTCAGGGCTTGACAAATTTGTTTGAAATCTAGGAGCCAGCTAAAAAAGTTATGACCCAGTTTTTTTTAAAGGGACACTATAGTCACCAGAACCACTACAGATTAATGTAGTTGTTCTGGTGCCTATAGCCTGTCCCTGCTGCTTTTTCAGAGAAGGACCTCTAGTTACTGTCACTCAGACGGCGACTAGAGAGTCCTTTGTTATTGCCCTGCATGGAGACGCTGAATGTTACCCATAGAGAACATGCATAATATCCTCTCAATGCTTTTCTATGGGAAAGTATTGGCTTAGCTGAGATCATTAAGATCTCCGCTATGGAGGCGGGAGGTGAGAAAAACACCAACTATGTGATCGGAGGGTGCAGGTACCTAAACAGACACACACACACACTGACACAGGTACATATATACACACACGTACATATATACACACACAGACATACACACACACATCTATATATATATATATATATATATATATATATATATATATATTACACAAGATCCAGTGCACTCACCTATCCACTAAACAGCAACTTCAATGTTGAAAGATTTTATTTGTTTTTTTTTAAAAAACACCTAATCTAGGCAAAAATAATGGGGGTTTAGTTACATTATATGATCATACATTGCATAAGCCTGCCACAACGTCAATGTACCCCATCTTTGGCAGGTCCTACACTAACATCCTAATGTCTGCTCTTATGAGATTAACCCACTTACTTTGGGGGGGTGAAGGGAGGGGTGCAAACCTCCCTGTCACAGGTGCCTCTTCCCAGGGCCCTATTTAGCCTTGTACTGTAGAGAGCCCCAGATGGAATTTTTTCCCCAAGTAAGTGGGTTAATCTCAGAGTAGACATTAGGCGCTTCCTGAACCGGCCGCCTTCATGCTCCCGCGGGCGGGCAGTCGGCCAGCTTAATTGTTTTTTGCCCAGCCAGTCACTTAAAGTAAAAGGATGACAAATTCTAGACGCCAGGGCAAAAACTGTAGTCGACCTGGCGCCTGAGATTTGTCGAGCCCTGGGGGGGGGGTGGTGTGTGTGTGTGTGTGTATGTATGTATGTATGTATGTGTGTGTGTATATGTATGTATGTGTGTATATATGTATACACATATATACTAATACATATATATTAATAGATATATTCTAATACATTGCTAAACACAAATACACCAGTCAAGCTATCAGACTTGCTTTTCCCACAGTAATCTCACTTTAACAGTGCTCTCACTACTGCAAGGGATTCTGGGTAGGTGTATGCAAATAGGCTCAACAAAGAACCACATTTTTGCCTCATTTCTACTTTATACGTGGATTCCTTGGAGTATGTGTTAGCTGTATACAACAGCTTTGAAACACAACTCAGAAAGAGGAGCAAAGCCAGTGAACCACTCATGGACAGCTGTTTTGTTGTTAATGCAACTCATCAGTATGAGGTTGGTTACTGGCTTGTTACACTTCACCCAATACACTGACACTGCATCGACTACATATACACTGCATCAACTACACACTCTGCATCAACTACACACTCTGCATCAACTACACACTCTGCATTCAGTATATGTATTCACTACACACTGCATCTCATTCACAGATACTGCATTCACTACACACACTACATAACATAATAAATGTGCGTGAGGTTGGGTGGGTGGGGGGTGTAGCATTTCATCCTATGACCCCGGCAGCACAATGTCTTGGGCTGGCCCTGCCTATGGGAATATCACATGGAATTGTCTGCAAAGCATTAACTTGTCCTGTGGCTGAGCATATTGAATTGAATGATTTGGGAGCTATAGAGGAGTATAAATGTGTAGTAATAATTAAGTGATTGGCGTTTTGACTGTTTGTTACATTTCTGCTAAGTTGTTAATAAATCTATATATAATATTTTGGTTTTTAGGAGCCTTCAATGGGTTTAGGTGTCCTTTTGGACAGTGCTGTTGGGATATTCCCGTATCGCCTCTCTCCTCTCCTCCAGCTCCTCACTGCCCTGGTCTCCAAGTCTTCAGTAAAGAAGGTTAGAACCAAAGCAAATAGAGGGGGAAATCTGTTATTTATGTGCATATGTTTTGATCTAATTCTTTTGTTTCTCAAAGTAATACTAGTGTCTGGTTACAGGTATACATGTTTCTGGATAAGATGTCGTTGTACACGGAACATTTCAAACATAAGCCACATGATGTAATAACACATGAAGATGGAACTCTGTGGAAGAGAAAATCTCCTAAACATCTTTATGCATTAGGTAGGAGCCAGTAGAGTGCATCATTTACACCACTATTAAGGCGTTATGATATGCATTGCAGGAACTTTAAATTGAATAGGTCAGGGCACATAGAAGTCACTATGGGCAGAAAGACAATGAGCAAGGTACTCTAATTGCAGCAATATTTGTAAAAATCACTGCAGACATAGGTGATTCTTGGATGTATTGGTCTGTATCAGTTGTTTCCAGATACAAGCAACAAATGCCTGGCAGCTAGAAAGGTTTCCCTTTAATAAAAAGCTAAAGCCGCTCTAACTTGAAGCTTACTCTTATTTTGTACATGGTACATTTAATACAATTAAATTAATTTGCTGTGCATATTTTAGGAACTGGACAGACCAACTTAAATATACCTCAAGGAGCCATTGGACAAGTGATCTCTAATGAACGTGGCTTTGTAATTCGCTGGGATTTCTGTTACAGCAGCTGGACTCTCTTTACCTGTGAGATCGAGATGCTCCTCCATGTTGTTTCCACAGCAGGTAATATTTTTTTGTGTGATTTTTCAGACAATACTATTTAAAGGGAAATTGTTGCTTCCTAGGATGTTTTTAATAATCTGTTTAATTTTTTATACATTGCAATTATTTGTTAGGTGAGGTGGGAACATTTTTAATGTAGAAACTCACTATGCTATCCAGAACTGTTGTGCATCCATCTAGGCTCCATGTAAATCATTATTCTAATGTTATCATTTTCTATCATAGAACACAGTTATAAGCATAGTTAAAACAGAAACAGAAAAAATAGTTTGACACAAGTTCTAGGTGATTTAACTGGTGTAATTTTCGAAGTTAGTTTTCACATTCTGTTAGTGAAGTCTCTGGTTTGAAATCTGTATTTTCCTGATTGTTGGTTTCCCTCTTAAAAACTAAGGCTGCTCACTGAAGTGTGTCCCACTTTGATGGAGTTATGCACGGTTTTGGTGAAAAACTGAAAAAAATTCTCCTACCTCAACTCTCCCCCTCCCCCCCCCCACCCCCACTCTTCCATATCTTGACCTAAAAAAGTCCTTGTCAGTTCTCCATAGTTATCAGATCAGTGCATACCCTCACCGGTGAACTATTGTGTAATAATTACTTAGTTCTGCAGATGGAAACTGGTGGGAACAAAACCTTGTGTCTTGTGTAACAGTTGAGTATATCTCCAAAACAAGGGTGCACATCCTTGGCCCTCCAACATTTGTTAAGCTACCATTCCTATGTTTGTATGAAATTATGCAAGGCAAAAGCTATCCGCAGAGGATTATGGGAACTGTGTCCAGCAGTAACTGAAGGTGTAAAGTAGACACTCTTGAATGAAAATATACTTGTCACTTGCAGATGTGATCCAGCACTGTCAGAGAGTGAAGCCCATTCTTGACCTTGTTCATAAAGTCATCAGTGCAGACCCATCAATTGCAGACTACCTGCTTCCCATCACGTCTCGCATCTACATGCTTCTACAGAGGTAGGCAGCTTCTTGTGGCTGTGAGTTATGTTTGTCACCAGTACAAAGGCGAATTACTAAGCGAGACACTGTTTCTTTTGGTGATTTCTGCAGGTTAACAACTGTGATGAGCCCTCCAATGGATTTTATTTCCTCTTGTGTCAAGTGTCTGACTGTACTAGCCACATGCATACCAGCTAAGGTAACTGAGCCATGTAAATGGGTGATCAATTACTCTTTTAAGGGTTGTGTGTACCTACCAGTTATTTTTTCCTACTATCATAACTTCTTCTTTGTATTTCCCTTTGTAAGGTTTGGGCAGATTTGCACCACACGGGTTTCCTTCCATTTGCGCCTAATCCAGTTTCTGGTCAAATAATGAGGTAATGTCCTTCACTCTAACGAAAACTTGTAGCATGCATTGTATTGTTACAATGATCTGACACTGTATTTGTAGGCTAGCAAGTGGTGGCCAATATCTTTCTGTTCAGCTGAAAAAAGATTGCTTGCTGTGTATTTTGGATAAAGGAAGTGCCAAATGTCAGCCATTGTTTTACTAGGGGAAATGTGGCCATTCCAGTTGAATCTACAACCTATCAGCATTGTGTGAATTAATGTTCAAAATCCTCATCAGGGTTGCTGGTTGTGTAAAATACTTTCTAGCCCCTAATCTAGAAGTAAAGTATTCAAATAAAGTCTCTGCAAACATTTATATTCTCTGATTGTAAAGCATATTCAGCATATTCTCTGTCTTTTCCAAATCAGTGAAGGGATGAATGCCGGCGGCTATGGGACACTCCTTGGGATCGAGCAGTCGCAGGGTGAATACGCTGTCACAATTTCTTTTCTGCGTCTTGTAACCACATTAGTCAAGGTATGCCTGCTCTGAAAATACTTAGAACACTTCAGTTCACATGTTCCCAGTAGTTATGCTTGACAAATAATTGACTTTGTTTTCAGGGTCAGCTCGGAAGCACTCAGAGCCAAGGATTAGTTCCCTGTATCTTATTTGTACTGCGAGAAATGCTGCCTAATTACCATAGGTGGCGCTACAACACCCATGGAGTGAGAGAACAACTAGGTAC